CTGGCCGGGCGGGGGCGCCGGGAAGCCGTCGTCGCGGTGGGGGCAGGCGTCGCGCGGGTCGGGGGAGAGGGCGCCGCGGGCTCTGCCTGTCCTGCTGGCCGCGGAGGCACGTGGGTGGCGGCCTGGCCCGGCCCGGCCCTCAGCTCACGGCGGGGAGCGTCCGCCCTTTTCGTCTGCCTCCGTGCGGCTGTCCGGCAGCAGCAGGGCACGGAGACGCTGTGCCGCTGCCAGCTGGGGAGGAGGCTGCCCCAGGCAGGGGTGCTCGGCCCTCTCCTGTAGCGCGGTGCGGGGCCGTCTCTCTCTCTGTCCCGCGCTGGCTGGAAGCGTCGGAAGGGCTGATGTGTACAAGCCCATCCCTGAGTGCAGTAAATAAGAGGGAGCCTGTTGGACTGGCGGCACGTGCTGTCTCTCAGCAAATTCCAGATCAGGTTTAAGCCCCTGTTCCTCATCCTCGTATCCTCCCGTTTTAGAGCCTGGCCTGTGTGAGGCCCACCCCAAAGCTGCCTACTGATGCAGTTAGTGTTGAAGACACCAACGATGCAGTTAGTGTTGTCCGGGTTAGAGGGAAGGTGGGACAGACTTCTGTTTTATAGGCTAGCTAAATCAAAGATGCGTAGCACAAGCCCTGCAGGCCAGCAGGGTCAGCTGCCCTTCTCTGTCCAAGGTCAAGCCATTGGGAGCCAGGTAAACTAATCCCACCAGTGCAGTTCCTTTTTTTTTTTCTTCTAGGGGATCAAAATGAGCTTTCATCTTGCTTATTTTAGAGGACAGGGCAAACCTCTGCCTCTATTGAACAAGATCTAGCTTGACAAAACGGAGGGAAATTTCATCTCTTATATCTAATTTTGTGAAGAATAATGGAATTAAGATATGAAATTATTTGACTACTCTGCTTTTACCTGCAGAATGTTTCTAAAGCTGAAGTAAAATCTCTTCATGTTTTTGAGAGTCTGGGGAAGAGTAAATGCTTGCTTCTTTTAAAGTTAGTTGTATATCTCCTGTAACTTCGCTGTTACAAGTTTTACTCTTACCTTAAAACTACAAAATGCTAGAAAATTAATAGGACATTGCTTCGTGGTATCTCATGATTTAAGCTCTGTGAAGAGTAGGATAGCTTCTTTGTGACATCACCACATATCTACTATCTGCTGTGATCAGAAGTTGGCCACATACAGGGTTGTTGCTAAAAAAAATTATATGAATGAAATCTTAAATTGTGTCAGAATTCACCGTATAATTATTGCATTGGTTGTTGACACCCATCACTATCTTAAAGGCTTGGTAATTTTAGCTCTGGTATATGTAATGTTTTCTAAATAAAATTTTGTTTTTGCACATACCAAATTTAAGCATCCTGTCTAAACTTCAATACATTTTACAATCTTCAGTTAAATTGAAGTTAAAAAAGTAGAAGCTGTTTTTGATTAAGAAATGGTTTCTAAACCCCCCCCATATTTATTTACCTTTTACAATGCGGTTTTTCAGTGTAACTGTCTTGATTATTAATACAGGTTTCCCTCGCTTTATGTGGGTTCTGTACATGCAAATTTGCTCTTATGTGATGACCCATTTTATACCAAAAATGTGTTATGCAGGGTAAATTCATTCTTATGTGATTGGTGTGGTGGAAGCCCAGTCAGCTGCTTTGTGTGGTGCATTGTGGGAGTGACCTGCACCAAAATGTAGTCTCTTGTGTGGATCTGTGCTCCTCACTCATTGTCTACGACAGGTTTCCCTCACTTTATGTGGGTTCTGTACATGCAAATTCGCTCTTACGCGATGCCATCCCCATTATGATTATGCCTTGTGCCTGCTGTTGGTGAGTACCAAAATTATCTTGTAAAAGTAGTAGAAATTGGTCTGATGATCAGTAAGTCGAGGTATTGGAATGTATCCCTATTTGTTACATTGTAAAGTGGGTTCCCTTTATGCGAATTCGAGTTATGCACCATTTTCCTGGAACATGTGTACAGCGTAAAATGAGGGAAACCTGTATGCAAGAGCAGGCCATAAAGGACTGGGAAAGGTTCTGGGGAAGGTCTGTGGTTTCTCACAATTTGTCTTGTTTTGACTTTTTTCTTTTCTGTCTGGCTTTTCTTAGGAACTAAAAATTATCCTTTAATATGTAATGCCTTGTTTCATACTGGTTCCTCGTCTTGTACCAAAGAAGATTATTACCAGATATTGGGAGTTCCTCGAACTGCTACCCAAAAGGAGATCAAGAAAGCCTATTACCAGGCATGTATGCTAAAGAAAAATGAAAATGGTTTAATTTCATGAATGACTTTGTTTTGAATTTGGTTTTGTTGGGGAGAGTGTATTATGACCCACTTTTTACTCTTATCTGAAATATACCCAAGTAAAAGCTTCCAAGTACTGTCATACTAGTGTTTTTTTTCCTTGCATGGTGGAACGAGGCAGATGATATATTAAAGGAAGTTCAGTGCCATCAGATAGATTCAGCACAATTGTCCATGGTTAAATATATTATTTTGGGCAGTGGCCAGTATCTTGTACATCAGGGAAGGCAAAAGCCGTGAAACTCATAAATATTAGTAAAAAGCTGATTTTTATTTTTGGTATTTTTCTGTGGCCTTTCTTCTTACATTCTTTAAAATTTTTTTTTTATCCTTAAAAACCTCTAAAAGTAAGCTTTCAGAGTCATTGGTAGCAAGATCATAGTTATGGTTCACTCTTGTCATTATGCATATTAAGAACAGTCTTGGTGAGCCAGGCCGTGTATGCAGTAGGTAGGTGTCGATTGGCTGGCCCAAGTGCGGAAAAGCTTTGTGATGCTGCTTTTATTATGTTCCTCATTTTAGGGAATATTATGTACAGTAAATTACTTTGAATATGCATTTGGTCTCCTCTGTAAAATACAGATTTGAAAGCTACGTTCTGGCTAATGACTTTCTGGCATGTAAAATGAATTATATAAGAGTGCTGACAGTGCATTTATTTCCCTTCCATTTCAAATATGCCTTTTTCTTTTTTTGTGTAGCTTGCCAAGAAGTACCACCCTGATACAAATAAGGATGACCCTAAAGCTAAGGAGAAATTCTCTCAACTGGCAGCAGCCTATGAGGTAAGATGCCAGACAGGTGCCTGGTGGTGTACTGTGAGGGAGAGATCAGTTTTACAGACAAAATGATTGTTCTTTCTTTTCATTTCAGTGTGCATATTTCAGTAAAATAATTGTCATTTCACTAGTAAGAGTCCTGTTTTATAGACCTGAGTGCAAATGGGCCAAAAATATCCTATCTTTTGGAAAGTGATCATCTAGCTATAATACTTGACTGGTTTATTTTGGGAATATTTCTGGTCCATTCATGCATTCCTGTTCCTTTGTGTAAAAATGAGCTACTGTTACATGTGTTAATCATGGAAGAACTGATTACTAGAATAATCTCTTGGTCAGAAGAAGGACAGGTAAGTGGCATAAAAAATGGCTGTTTGAGAGGGCGGGATGCTGGAACTTTTCTCCCCCCACCATAACTTTCTCAGATGCCTTTACCTTTTCTGGCCTCTACTTTATCTCAGTTGCAAGTTCCAATATCAGTAGTCTTTCCCGCTATATTATGTCATTGTAAGTCATTTGTGCTTGCCTTCAAATAGTATTAAACTGAGAACCTGATCATCTTCCCTGTAACTAATATGGTTATTAGGAAGTATTTTAGCTTATCAGCTGAGCTTTGCTGTCCAATGTGTATGAGAAAAACTGAGAAGGCTTTTTAATATATGGCATTATCTTTATTCATGACAAAAGGTAAAGTAATTCTACTGGCATAATATGCAGGGATTTGAAACTGGGCTTTGACAGCATTTTGCATGTCTTACTGGTAATGCATATAACCTCTTTTCCATGTAGCGTATCTCTAAATATTTCTATCTAGCGTCAGCTAAGCAGCTCCAGTTCTTTACTGAGGGAGTGTGTTCTAATAGTATTGTATTTATTTGCTCCATAGGTGTTGAGTGATGAAGTGAAGCGAAAACAATATGATACCTATGGCTTTGACCCTGGCTCAGGGGATACTGGACATCAGTATTGGCGTAGTGGTCCCACGATTGACCCAGAAGAGCTTTTCAGGAAAATCTTTGGGGAGTATTCAGGGTCTGCTTTTGGAGATTTTCAGACTGTCTTTGACCAACCACAGGAGGTATGGGGGATAAGTGTTTGCATCATATTGCTGAGAGTGGGTTCTGGGCGCATGCAGTAGACTATCTTTTTGTCAGGCTCATGGCAAGTACATCCATTCAATTCGGGTGATGATTAAGGCTATTTCAGTAACTCTGAAATGGTAAATGACATACCTAAGACCTGGCTCTTGATATTGACTAAAATATCTTTGTTAATCGAGAGACTTCTGTTTTTCAACACCTGCATGAGGTACACAGGCAGAGGGAGAAATATTTTTTGGGGGGGAGGGAGGGAGGCCTGAGCATGTGCATGCTTCCCAGGCAGGAAAGTCTGGCGGGAGAGGTAAGGGGATGGGGAGGGAGTGGGGCTGGGGCTGGGACCAGGCAGGTATCGGGAGGGAGCTGAGCTGGTGCCAGGGTTGGGGTCCACTGCGCCTTTGCGGCCACCCCTTCTCTTGTGCCTGGAGTTGTTGCCTGGTGTTGGCACTCCCTGCATCTGAATCTGCAGCCCTGCACCAGCCCCAGCTGCTTCCATGCACCAGCCCTGCACTGCCCAGGGGGGCCTGGAGCTGGGGGCCAGAGCAAGGCCAGCCTCGGCTGCACTACCAGGCTGGTGGCCTAGGACCCCCACCCTGCCCTGAGTTGGGGCGGGATGTGGGATGAAGCCATGGCTTGTCTGGAAGGTGCAGGGAGGGGGTGGCGGCTCCCGCTGCTGCGCATATCCCAGGAGACATGGTGGGGGTGTGCCCCCAGATCTGCACAGGGCAGGGCAAGTTGCTACTGCAGGCAGGGGCCAGGGCAGTGCTGGGCTGTTTCTGGTAGCGGGAGCTGGGCTTCACTCAGGGTGGGCGGAGGTGACATTGGGAGGGGGGTCAGGTGGGCTATGGCAAATTTTGGGGTGGCTGCACCCCCCCCCGCCGTAACCCCCTCCCAGTGCCATAGCCCTGGCCCCAGCTTGCAGCAGCAGCCTGCCTTGCACAAATTTTGGGGCACACACCCCTCCATGCCTTCCGGGTTGTAGCAGCAGTAGTCATGTCCCCCAGATGAGCTGCTCATAGCTTAGTCCTGCACCCTGCTGGCTGTGCAGTGCCTGCACCAGCCCAAGCTCCACTTCCTCCCCACCTTTGCTGCAGGTGCTGGAAGCCCTTGGTTGGTCTGCCTTGTGACTGTACCGCTGCCCTGTGTTTGGGGGGGCTAAGCCCTGTTAGCACCACCCTTCTGCTGCCTGTGGTGAGGTAGCTCAGTAAGGAGACTGGCCCAGAGAAATGGTGCATTTGGGGTTTTCTGCAAGGATATTTACACCAGTCAGTGCTATCAAACACTAATTCTCGTGTCTTCTAGTTCTGTTCAAACAGCTGCCCTACTTTGTTTGCTCAAGTTGATCTCTGATTTCTATTGGTGTTTGCTTTATGCTGTGCTTTAACTTTAAAAGCTGTGAAATAAGGCTTCCTTCCACTGGCTTTTGGGGTAACTACATAATTGGTGCCACTTCTGGTACTTGAATTTGTGCTGAGACAAATCCTATTTGTCTTTGTTTAGTATGAAACGTTTAAATCTGAAAAGCAACCAGGTAGACTCTTGGAGGAAAGGGTGTAGCGAGCACATGCTTTGCTGTCAGCACTGCACATAAATATTGGTGCAGCTGGCTTAATAACCAGAAATTACCTTTTTTACATTCTGATGCTGTAAGCAATTTTTTTGCTGCTACAAGAAGCACAATATGCTAGGTATCTCTGTCTTTCTGCTGATACTTCTCATTGCTAAGTGATAGGTCCATCAAGATACAGTGCATGCCACCTTTGGCCTTAAAAGCCTTCACTCACTACCCAGTCACTTGCAAGTATGGTACACACTACAAGTACACAGTTGTTACACAAGTATCATGGTTTTCTCTTAAGGCCGTGGTGCTTAAATTCTGATCCACAGAGCTATCTCATTCACAGGTCCAGAAATTTGGTCTCAGGGGAGCAGTAGAAGTGTTAATTGCTCCCGGAGCTGCACCAGTTAACACTGTCTGCTTCCCTGCTGCCAAATTTCCAGACCTGTGGGGAACGCCAGTCTGGATAATATGGCCTTCTGCACTTGATCACACTGGTGCATAAGGTTGTGCTGTAGCTGGATCTGGTGCATCAGATCTGGCTTATAGGGCTGTTCCAACATGCTGAGCCCACATGCAGGATCTAGCTTGTTGGATCCATGCTGCTCATCTAGCCTGTGGGACCAGGGAAATTTATGCCCTTAGGACAGTGGTGCTCAAAGTTTGGATTCCTTCTATGTTTAGGCTTTTCTTCCCTTTAATATATTTTCTACAATTTGACTGCTCTTTAAACAGGTTTAATAAGCTTCTTCCTTTTTATGTCTCCCCAGCCCTACAATGTGAACAGTTTTGCCTGTAGATAGTCAAGTGTGTTCCCTTTCTGCACTACTTTCTTTAAGCATGTTAAATGGTGTTTTGATTATGTTTTGAAATGACTCTTGGGTCTAAAAATGATTACTGATTACTTTTCAGCGTATGTGTTAGAACTTTAATTCTGCTATTTTCTTTGAGATTAGTATATCCTGGAATTGACATTCAATCAAGCAGCAAAAGGTGTTAACAAGGAGATTGTGGTGAATATTAACGACTCTTGTCAGAGGTGTGAAGGCAGGGGGCATGAACCTGGTACCAAAATACAGTCCTGTCATTATTGCAGTGGCACTGGCATGGTAAGTGCTGTTTAAAAATGTTACCCCAGATAACAGATCTTCTTTAAATGTTCATTTGTGATGCTAAGGTCTTATTCATACTCTGTTAGCTTAGCTTTCCTAAAACATCAGGATATCCAGATTGAAACAAGTTCAGTAAAGGAGGCTTTAACTTTTTAGTGTGCCCTGTAAATGCATTTATCCTGTAATACTTTTTATTTAGAATATATTAACTTTCATTAAAATAATTTTGGTACAAAAACTATTACTGTCCAGAATAGCTAGCTATTGTAATTTGTTTTCTTAAAGGTCTAGCATTCAACTTCTTAAATTGCTTATAAGTGAAATGCTATGAAATAGACCAAAATATGAAGGCCTTCATATATTTTTTCCAGTATGTGGGAAGTGACAGGAACTATCATGAGACCACTTTATTTGTGAATTATTTTATTTAGACTCTACTCCATTTAAGAGCTTCTAAATATATTCTGTGAAAAGAGGGTATTGAGGACAGAATCATCTCATCCGATGAATGGATGCAACTTAGTCATTGAAGGTCTTCTGTATACTGTGTGTTTGTATGTGCTTCAGCCCTTGACTGGTTAACTTCAGGAATAAGAGAATAGTTTAGGTTGCGACCTTTTTTTCTAAGTCTAGTGACAAGCTGACCAATTAGCATGATGTCTGCTGTGCATTAGTCCTCTAGGAACACAGCTGGCACCTAATTATGAACTTGTATTGTTATTCTTTGTGAAATGGTAACAGCTTTCATTCTCTGCTGATGTGCTAAAACTAGTCATTGCCCTAAAGATAAAAGTTCCTAACAAATTCTTGCTTTTCTCCAAAACTCAAAATTACTATGTGACAAGGTATTGGTTAGTTTTCTGTCCTTAGCATAAGGATGTTTGGTCTAGAATTGGCTGCCTGGAAAACTGGGGAAGGAGGAAAATGCCTGCCTTCCGAAAAGCCAAGCTTTTCACTGGGAACCATAGGGAAGGCTTGAACCCTAACCTGGGGACATTTGTGAACAGGGTGGATTTGAGTTAAATCAAACTGATTTTAAATTATGATTTAAATCACAATCTAAATCACTAGTCAGGAAGCCTCGATTTAATCATTGTTTTCTACAAAAAGTGCATTAATACTCATTATTCACAACTCAGAGAATAACTCAGGTTTCATTTTTAGAAGATACACACTGTACATTTTAAAGCTGATTTATTTTGATATTTTTTTCAGATTAATTTTATAGTTACATTGGAAAACTGAATTATGATTTGGTTATTTTATTTACCAAAGCTAATCTGAAGCAGATACTTGTGAAGTCATTGGGAAGTGAACTCTATCTCCAATTCACTAGATTAATCATGGATATTTGGGGATATTTTTCCCACGCTGTATTAGGTGGTCAACAACAACTGTCACTAAAAACAACAGACGCTTGAATTGTTTTACTTACCTAAAACAAACTTATGTATTGTGGATATTTTTCTTCAACAACAAATGCATGATTATTTAAAAAAAACAAGCATCTGTATTTTTGAATTTTTAACTATGTTAGTTATAAATGTGAAATGTGTTTTTAACGAAAATTAAATAGATTATTTCAGCCAGGTCAGGATGAGAAATTTTAAAATACTGGGTTATGCAGCAAACTCAGTCTTCACTTTCCTCTTCCTGTTTATTCAGACTGGAAAAGAAAGACAGTTTGCATTTTGTATGCATGCCTGTTTTACGCACAGGTAGAGAAACTTAATTAAAATATTCCCAAACGGGGTCTCTTTTACAGCCTGGCAAGCCTGCTGCCATGATAGATTTTCCTCTCTGCCATACTATTCCCTCACTAGATCTCAAATCAGTGGAGAGGCTATACTCAGAAACTTATCCCTCTAGACTTCTGAAATATTCTGTTCAAAATACTTCTCTTGTTCTACTGCTCCTCCCTCCTTGCATTTATCTCCAGACTCCTGCTCTTTGCCCATTTCTACTCCACCCCCAGCAACTCTTTTAATTTAACTTCTTGAAACTTTGCACATTTAGAGAGAGGTAAGGGCTTAACCCTGTGTACACAAACTTGCAGAGACACAAGAGGGCTGATGGGTAGGTAATCAGGTCTGTTACCTCTCATTCCATATATGCTGTTAACAAGGATGTTATCTCTAGAGACACAAATACACAGTTTGAGAACTGAAACTAAGCATCACAGAGATGCCCAATGGGATCTTCTAGACTGATCACAGAGTCCCATTGGGTAGAGTATTTGGCTTTAATCTTTACTAGAGGAGCCTTGGGGGGGAACCCCATAAGATTGGGCCCCTAATATAGTCCATGGCCTGTTGGGATCTATTTATAAAACTTTTCTAAAAAGGTTACATGAATATAGTTTTTCAGTTAGTATATAATTAGAATTCATGATCCCTATTCAATGATGATGACTTCCAGCTTTAAAATATATCTTAAATTAGAACCATTTTTATATAGGTTTGTTTAGTTTTTTTAATCTTAACAGAAAAATAAAAAAAACCCCATTCAATCAAAAAAATCTAATTTAAATCCAAAATATTTATTTTTTTATTTTATTTTTAAATGGTTGGGTTTTTTTATCCAACCTGTTTTTGAAGGCTACCCATTTTACTACTGTTTTTATAAACCTTATGCTTTTGAAAGACTTTGACTGCAGTGTTTTTTTCTGCTGAGTCATTTTGTTTGAAGAACTGGGTTCAAGCAATGCTTCTTTATGTTAGTGGGCATTGTTTGTTTATTCTCATATGATAGAGGTCCCTGGCTCATTAATTAAATGATACTTGGGGCTTTGCTAGAGTTATGTACATGATTGTAGTATTACAGATTTTTGAAGGCTCTGTGTGATAGATTTGCACTGCTTGGTTCATAGCAGCTTTGATCAGAGTCACCACTGATATACTCATTAACATCCTAGTTCCTGTAGCTGAATTCTTTCAAGGAAAACTTTTTAGGGTCTTGCAGTGAGTATGCTCGAGTGAAAGAAGTTTTGGAACTTGCAGATAGTGACTGAGTAGGTTATTGGATTTGCAGAAATACTGGGAAAAGGCAAAAGCTATTTTTCTTGTGCATAATCTAATGGGCTATAAAATCAGAATGGCAAAATTTTACAGCCACCTTTTGGCACTCTTTAGAAACTGCAAAGCAGTGGAGAATCCAGGCTTTCTTATTAGAAAGACTTCTCTCCCTGATCTCTTTTCAAGGTTTTCTTCTGACAATTTCTGTTTCGATATCAAACTTTCTTCCTGCTGGTAATCTAGAAAAAAAGGGCTCATCCGTTGGGCAGGGAGGCTGGCTCCCTGCTGCTGCATGCACTCTCTGGGGGCAGAGGCAACCTGTGCCCCCCAGATTTGTGTGTGTTGCAGGGGCTGTGTGTGTGCTGCCCACTTGAGGCTGCAGCTCAGCGTGTGAGACCCACTGTGGCAGGGAACAGTGGAGCCAGGCAGAAAGCTGTCGCTGCTGCGAGCTCCGCCCTGCCCACTGCAGAAGGCGGGAGCCCTCAGCAGTGGATAGCGCACAGTCCTTGCCCCACGCACAGATGTGGGGAGCATGGGTCCCCCTACCCCCCACGAGTGCATGCCACAGCAGGAAACACCCCCTCCCTCCCCCTGCCCAAGCCCATAGTGGACAGGCAGCAGTGGGGGAGCTGGGCTCCGATCCACTGCAGCAGCTGCCTCCTGCCAGAGGCGGGGGGCTGTGGACCCGGGTGCCTGGCTCCATAGCCCTGGCAGCTGGCAGCCCCCTCTGGCAGGTCTGGGAGAGCAGGAGCTGTGTATGGGGTGTTGTAAGGCACCAGCAGGGCCAGGGGGCTGTGGAAAGGGAGTGAGGGGCACCAGTAGGGCTGGGGGTGGGGCTTTCATTTTGGGGGGGGTTTATACGATTATTTGCAATTCATTTATGTATTTATTTTAATAAGGGGAAACCAGGATCCCTGCTGAATACTAGGAAAAGTTTCATTTAATCTGTCTGTTTCCTTTTTTTCTAGGAAACAGTAAATACAGGCCCTTTTGTGATGCGTTCTACGTGCCGGCGATGTGGTGGTCGCGGTTCCATTGTGATAACACCCTGTGTAATGTGTAGAGGCACAGGACAAACCAAGCAGAAGAAGACTGTGATGGTCCCTGTGCCAGCAGGTCAGTGTCTGTTTTGGCATACAGCCTATGCTACATAACTTGCCTATTACAGAGGAGTTGCAGTTATTTCTTCTTGTGAAGATTGCCTAAGCTTATATAGGGAATGTGTCTGTTATCTGCACATTTAAAGGTGAGACAGAAAAATATAAAAGATATGGATCTGCAGCAAGAATGTCTAGATGAATATGGATAGTTTCATATCTATGGTAACTAAAAAAAAAAAAAAAAAAAAA